TTTAACAACCAGTTTTCCAAGGTAGGGGAAATCCCTTATTTGTATTTGCCACTTTTTGTGGGGCAAATACTCCAACCAGAGCCAATTTCAAGCTGCTTACATTACTTAGATGAACACAAAATTGGAAAGAGATGTACATTCACATACATTACATAGTATTTCTGTGATGCAGATATAATAAAGATAAATAACCTCAAGAGCATACCTAACAGTGAAATGAGGTAAAACAATTAGGAAATGATGAGTTTTGAATATGCATTACCTTTTAAAATCTATTTGATTGTAGGTTTATATAATTAAGGGCTTGATAATGTCTGTGTCTAACAGAAGGCTCCCAGTTTCCTCGCAGCACACCACTGTCCCAGCTCAACCTCTGTCCTTCAGGCACAGACACCATACACCTGCTCAACAGTCCTACCCGGATCTCTTCCATGAGAAGCCACAAACTTAACATACTGAAATCTAAACTCACTTTCCTCTTTGAATCTCCTTAGTGCACACTTCTCTTCCCCTCTTGACTTCCCTATTTCTATTAATGGTGCCTCCAATAGCGATCCAATCAGTTGCTAAGTCTCGAAGTTTCTGCCTCTCAATGTTCTTCAAATCCACCCACTCCTTTCCATTCCAAATAGGGTTACTGTCCTAATCCAGCCCAATTAACTGGCCTCTCCCCATACTCCTTCTCTCTCTAATCTATCTGTGATACTGTTAGGTTAATCTTCCAAATGCACCGCTCTGATAATGTAGATCTTCCATTCAAAACACATACATTCTGATCTGGCCTTCAGAGCTTTCCTTGCTCCAGGAAATTTGGCCAGCTCCTTATTCCCTGTGCTTGGAATACATCTTGTGGTTCACAATCGTGTGATTTTGCTCACGATTCCTATACATTCCTCTGGAATATCCTTCTTTAATCACACACAAAAACCCCTCACACCTTTTATTCCGTCCTCAGTTCAAATGACAATGAAAATATGCAGGTTGGTTGTCATGGGAATACATAAATAAGTTTATGAGAATCTGGAGGCTGACAACAAACAGGAAATGCCAAACCCAGGAATCATTTAACAACAAAAATTTTCTGGTGGCCATCCTATATGGAGGCTCTATGAAGCATATTACATTAAGCACTTGCCCCATTGTTCTTACTAGAAGGTTTGTTGTGAACCAACATGAGATTTATCTCAAACCTATGGATTTCAATTATACATGTTACAGCTGTCACTCATTAGCTGAAATGATCAAGAAATGTCTGTACTTTACCATTTGGTGTTTACTGTAATTATTTCCCTCTTAATGTTCTGAACCAAATTGGGTTGAGGGGGTGGGAGAAGGTGGGTGCTGAGAGACATTGGGCCCCTGGGGCCTGGTCTGTCACCACCCTTGATAATCCTCATTCATCTTTGGGACACTGTTCACAAGTACTAAAGATCTACCATGGGCCCAGAGTTTCTTAGCAGTCAGAGCAAAAATGCTAGAATATACATCTTTCTTCTGTCAGCCCTTCTCCAATGTTTAGAGTAAAATAAAATGCTTTAAGGATTGGCTTTCTGGAGGTAGAGAATGATAATGATGATCAGTAAGCAATCAAGAGAGATTCCTTTTCTTTCAAGTTGCAAATATGAGGCTGAAGCTTAATAGCAAAGGAAGAAAGAATAGGATGCCACAGCCCAGCAGTTACTGGCACCAATGTTCCCATGGATCTAAGTCATCTTAGGTTTTCAAGAGTATTCTGATTTCTTAGCCCAGGAGAGGTGAAAGAGAATGAGATAGAGGAAGGCCGTAAGAAGCAATGGGCTGGGGGCTGGGGTTGGGGGTGCAGGGGGGAAAGTGTTTCAAACCAGCCTGCCTTCACTCTAATATTGAAATTGTCAATGACTGATCCAGAGACAGCTTCCATGAAAACAAAAAACAAACAAACAAAAAAACCCTTTGGATGCTTGTCTAAAATGAAGCTTCCTGGGCCCTGTCTCAAGCTTATTGAATCATCTGATCTCTACGGGCTTGGCCTGGGACAATCGTTTCTCATGGGTATACACAGTGATTCGGATTCTAAAGGTTGAGGATCACTGGATTAGTATTGGCGAACTATGGTCTGTAGACTAGATATGGCCTTCAATCTAAAGATGGTTTTTACATTTTTTAAAGAGTTGCTAAAAAGAAAATAAGGAAATTGGAAGAATAAGCAACACAACCAACAAAGTCTAAAACATTTATTATCTGGCCCTTTACAGAAAAGTTTGTTGACCCCTATCTTCTTATTGTTTAGTCACCAAGTTCTGTCTGACTCTGCAACTCCATGGACTATAGCCCACGTTCCTCTGTCCATAGGATTCTCCAGGCAAGAATACTGGAGGGGGTGGCTGTGCCCTCCTCCAGGGGATCTTCCCTACTCAGGGATTGAACCCGCTCCTGCTACATGGGCAGGCAAATTCTTAAGCCGCCAAGGAAGCCCAACCCTTGTTTAGTACATTGCAAAAAAAAGTCTGCATCTGAATTTTTAGCTCTAACCCAGGCCTGCCACACTAAAATCACTGATGCAGTACAACTTAAGGGAAAAAAAAAAAGACTTTGATACTACTGAAATATATAATGCTCTCATCTAAAAATGCATTTGTGATAATTATAAGTGAAGGAAGGAAATGTACAAATATAATTGTAGTAAAAATACTGCAATGTCTTTGAAAATATATTTTCATCCATACAAGAACTTATAACTCCATTTGAGTCCATCCTTTTATATACTTATCAGGTGGCAATATATCCCAAATTGGCCTAGTAAAATTTTTTGTCAGACTATACTTGTCTCCATACATATTTTTGTCACACATATGAGGGAAAAAAATGTAAACTTCAAAATGTCTGGGAAATGAAAATGTTATAAACTCTCAAAACAACATTTAGGAAAATGATGCACAGAGGGAATAAAGGAAATAAAATTGAATTTGGTGTTTTCATACTTGAGGAGTTAAAGAATCATAGAGCACTTCCATCTCCTAAGAATCTTGGAAAAGAGACTAGGGGCTGACTTCCAGAAGGGTTCAGACACTCTTACTGTGCCAAAGGGCATTTGGGACTCATGCCAGTTAAATTCATAAAGTAATCCCAAAGACAGATGCAATTACTTTAAGGGTGGTTTCTAGATGTTTGTTCTAGATTTTTTTTTAAATTGTTTCTTTTTGATATGGAGAAAGAAATTTTATCATAGAATCTAGAAATGAATATTGTCTTCAAAAATATATTAACTTGTCTTTCAAGATTGTGACCTGAAGTATCTCACAATAATGTTGTTTCAGTGGGTTTTTTTTCCCCATGGAGAAAGGAATGCTAAAATCTAACTAGAAACTAATACTTTTTGATAAGGTTTTAAACTATATTACAATGTTAAGAAACAATGTGTAAAACACCAGATAAAGTCTTGAAACCAAGCATGCTCACCATTTAATAAAATTATGACTCATATCAGTAAGAAAATGCTTTTTTAGTGAAAAAAAAATGCTTTCTGAGCTAAGTTTTAACTGCCAGGGCACATGGGACACCTACAAAACCCAGTCAGCAGAAGTCTCAAACTCCTATAAGATTAAAGGAAAAATAAATTAGTGTGTACAGAGAATGAGAAAAAAAAAAAAGTCCCCAATGGTACAAGTGTATAAACGGAAGTAAAACTAAAACTCCCCTAAAATCCCCCAATCATCGATCCTTATAAATTCAGCATTCATCTTCTCCCTTTAATTGTTTGGGAGCCTCTAGTTAAGTGAACACTAGTCTTCTCGTGATTTTTATCTGGTAAAACAAGAGTCCTAAACCTCCCTAAACGTGGGTGCCCATCTTCGTATCACAAACTGTTGAACTTCTAAAACCATGCAAGCACACGTGGGGCTTCCTGAGTTCTGCTGGGGGCTGCTGGGCGGTTTGGAACCCTGTGGATTTTTCAGGTGTGTAGTACAGGGCGCGCGCGGCCTTCTGCATGGACAGAGGTGTGTGGTGGGCACCGCCTGGGCTGGGCAGGGTGGGTGGGGCCGGGCGTGTGCCCGGGTGAGACTGAAGGCATGTCACAAAGCGAAGGTGGCGAGTCGGCTCCAGGATCTGGGTGGAGAGTGAGAACTCCGCTGGGGTGCCCCATGTGTGAGCGGTGATAGCTCCAACCCCATTCGCACTTAAGTGTCTCTTGTTATCAAGTTAAATTAGAGATGTTATTTAAAAACACAGCCAAACATCCTATGCAAACGTATGCTCCCATCCCCTACTACCGACCCACCAACCCAACGCTCCGCCGTCTCCAGGGAGCTGAGTTTACACCCTGTCTAAATCCAATCTCGAATGCGGGAGTTCCCGTCCCTCCCCCCCGCTCCAGACCCCGTTCCTTGCCGCCCCCGCGACAGTGAGGCAGAGGCTGGCGAGCTCAGTTCTGGGGCCCTGGAGCAAGCCGAGTTGGACGACGATGGTGCGGCCGCCGAGAAGGGGAGGCAGCATCAGGTGGACGCGGCGCGAGCCCGCGCAGCCGGTACCAGGGAGTGGGGTCTGCTCGGGAAAAGGCCCGCCGCGGCCCCCGCTCGCCCCTCCCTGGCCCCGGGCTCTCCGCCCGCGCGCCGCCCGGGCCTCGCAGCGCGCCAGGAGCCGCGCCGCGGCGCGAGAGCCGGAGGGGAGCCGCGGCCCCGCGGGCCAGGCAGCCGGGAGGGCGGCAGCCAAGGCGACCGCGGAGGCGGCAGACAGGGCGCGTGCGCACTGCAGGGGCGCCAGATTTGGCGGGAGGGGGAGTGTCCAAAGCTCTTTGTTTGATGGCATCTCTGTTTACAGAGTTTACACTTTAATATCAACCTGTTTCCTCCTCCTCCTTCTCCTCCTCCTCCGCGACCTCCTCCTCCTCTTTCTCCTGAGAAACTTCGCCCCGGCGGTGCGGAGCGCCACTGCGCAGCCGGGGAGGGACGCAGGCGGGCAGCGGGAAGCGCAGACCCGTGCGGTTCCCGCGGCTCCCAGCGGAGCCCCGCGCCCGCCGCGCCATGGCCCGGAGACCCCGGCACAGGTAACGGGGATCCCCGATGGGCGGCCGTGGGCGGGGGCGCGCTGGGCTCCAGGAGCTTCGGGAGCAGGTGGGAATTCGTTCTCGGATCTTCTGCGGGGCTGTCAGATACTGCGAGGACCCGGAGCCCCTGCCTCGGCAGCAGAACCCACTCGAGGGAGGGATGAATGGAAGAGTCGGTGCTGGAAATCCATTAGGACGTTGGGAAGCACGCCCTGCGGCTCATTTTGCAAGTTGCACGGAGTACCTTCTCTCTAGGGGGGAAAATAGCACGCTCCAGCCAGGGGCAGAGCGGTGCCCACCAACCCCGGGGAGCCCACTACGTTCCTGGCTTGATGCAGCGGGTGTCGGCGAGCGAGTCGCAGCGTAATTGCTGGATGCATTGCGATATGTTTGGACTTGGAAGTGCAGAGCGTATGGCTGATATAGGGGAAATGCCGGATTGTTTAGTAGCTGCAGGTAGTTCATTTAAATTTCATTCATTCTTTATGGAGGCGAAGAAGAGTGTCAGCTGACAGGCGGCTAGAAAGAAGCTTGTAGGGGAGGAAAGGGCCTCTACCTTTGCAGATTGTTTTAAGTCCTGGTTTTGAAGGTTCGAATCCATATTCTCTGGGAGGCTCTTATTTCTAACGCAAACATTGTACATCCACCCCCACGCGCCCGCGCCGCACATGTCAAGTGCACTTGGGGAGGCTCGCCGGGTGTCGGGAGTGAAGTGCTGTTACATTTTGGCGGATCGGAGGGAAACAGGGAGGGCGGGGGGGGAGAGACTGGTCCGAACTGTCACTTGCTCGGAGCTCCTGCTTCGACCAGTCTGAGGACTTTCCGGACTGGACGCGGCGGCGCTCCCTGCGAGTGGCTGGGTGCGGGGGCTCGTTCGGCCGCCGCCAGGGTTGCAGCTCAACCGAAAGGGACGGAGGCGGGCAGCACCCAAGGCCGCTGCCGCGCAACAGGGACGCAATCCCCGCGGGCGCTTCCCGTGTGCAGGAGGCCCCGGCGCGGCGCGCGCACGTGGACGCAGCCAAGGTCGCCGCTCCTCCCGGCGCCCAGCTCGCGCAGCCTTCGGTCGCCCGGGGCGGAGAAGGGGTCGCGGGGACAGACCTTGGCCGAGATGTTCTGGGGGAAAAAGTCCCTGGAGGCAAAGCGTGGGCTTGTTTTCCTCGGGTTGTTTGATTTTCTTTTACTTATTCGTTTTTGCATCGGAGGTCGCCTATCCTCTCGCAGAGCTAGGAAGTTGCAAAGAGCGTGGGTGTGAGCCCTGCCGCAGAACCCTCGGCCGGGCCTGGCCGGGCCGGGGAGCGGCGCCCAGGCAAGGCCGGGCGCTGGAGGAAAAAAGGGAGACGACTTGGGGGTGCCGCTGGTTCCCTCTGCCTCTCCCAGGTCCGGGCGCGCGGGGCGAGGGTGTTGCCTCTTGAGTGGTTTCACCTTCGCCTTTGGGACTTAACTGTAGAGCGGCCGGGGTCACCTTTTTTTTTCGGGAGGAGAAACTAGGAGGGAGCGGAGGAGGGGAAGGAGGGAGCTGGGAAGCGGTGCTGGGAGGAGGCGCGGGGCAGGCTCAGCGCGCCGAGATCTTGACCTTCCCCGCGGGGCGGGGCCGCGCAGGTTCCCGGCGGCTCCCAGGTAGCGGCGAGGGGAGGTGGCCCGGACGGGCGGGAGCCTTGAACCTGCCTCAGGGGGAAGAGAAACCGGGCTGTGGGCTCGAAGCCGTTTCTTGCGAGGCGAGCATCGACTCGGCAGGGATTATTAACCAGGTCAGCGAAATGAGTCGGAACCCTTTTTCTAGAATCACAGTAGCGGCCACAAGGCACTTCCTCCCGCTCCCCTCCCTTTTTCCCAACCCCCAACACTTCTTTTCTTTTTCGTTTCTTTGCACGGTTTGTTTCCTTGACAGAATGTAACATTCATAGTCGTACTCTTGTAACCACACCAGGTCTAGCAGGTGGGGAGCCGGGTGCATCAAGCTTGAAATCAGCCTTTGAAAGTCTTCTGACTGTTGGGTCTGAGATCTTGTCAGAGCAGATAAAGGAAAAGTTATTTCAGGTCCTTAGTAGAAATTAATCATCCTACTTAGACGACCGGGACCATTCAGAGCGAGGAAATCGCATGCAAAGCTCCAAGGCAAGACCCGTGCCTCGCGTGCTAATGGACCCTGGAGCTGATAGTGTGACCAGCCCTGGGCTAGGTAGCCCTGCTCCCCTCTTCAGGGGCCTCTTCAAGACCTGCGGAAGTCACACAACCAAGTTTTCCCCAAGACTTTGCTTGTATACATCTCCGAATTTGCACGTTTCTGCTTAATTTTTAGACTCAACGGAAGATCTGGAATGATCCTTTATTAGCACTGGAAAGTACCTTAGAAGTAGAATCCAAGCCCGTCTGTATAGGCGAGGGACTGAGGTCGTGAGAGAGGGGAAGTGATTCGTCCAAGTCACGCAGCTAGGTTGGGGCAGAGCTAGGACGGGCACCTTTCCCTCCAGAAGCCTAGTCCTATTTAGCGTCTGTGCTCTCTCACCTGATGCAGGCTGCCCCCTATGGGCGGCCGAATTTGTTGCTTATTCCTGAGTGTTCAGCTGTTGCCAAGACAGTGGTGTCGGATTACTGGTTTGGAACTGTAGTCCTCAGTTCTGAAAACGTGATCTCCAGATCCAGCGAGACCCCCAAAGTTTAATTCAGCTGAATCTATTACTCCACTTGCAGATGACTCAGGCTTTCTTGGTATCCCGGATATTTCACAAGGGTGCCACTTCATCTGGGGGGGCTTTCCAAGGAGTTCTCTATGAATCTTTCAAAAGTCCTGGGATTATAATAACATTTTTTTTCAATTTAAGATGCTTGTGTTTTTATTAAAGGAAAGCTACTGTAGTTATTAATCAGAAGTTGTTTAGAGCCCTTTGTTGATAGTGTGAAACGGGATCAGGCTCTTCTTTAAAAGGATAGCCCCTAAATGAAAGATGGTTATAGATTATAAATATAGTTCAGTGGTCTTTTTTTGTGTGTGATGGCATTTTAAGTTTGAATCACATCCTGCTTGACACCATGAATCCTGGACCTTAGCATTGTTTCCCAAAATAATAGTTTTAAATTATAAGAACCTCAAATTCAGAATTTGGGGGAAGTAATTTTGCCTGTTTGTAAGGGATGGGTAATATATACTTGTAAATTACTTCTGAAAGACCAGATACGAATATACATTTTATTTTTTAGAATAATGATTTGTGTTATGATATTGCTTTGTATAATTATTTTTATTCTTAATTTGATGGAATTATCAATATTGCAATGATAAATTTCCAGTAACTCTTTAAAGATAGTATAATTTTTCCTTCTAAATTAAGTTTTATAAGTAAAATAATAACTAAAAGTAAACTGGCTTAAAATGACTCATATCTACTATAGGGATACATTCATCATTATATGATTAATAAATATTAAGTATAGAGTTACTTCAAAGGACATCAAAATTTATAGTTTTGGTCAAGTAGGTAAAAGAAAAAGTTCTTTTGAAAACAGTAATGAGTTCCTTTTAAACTCATCTGGGGAAATCCCTCAGTTTTGAATTAGGTACATTTTAAGATCTTTCAAATACCATTCAGTCTGAGGTAGAAAAAACATGAGTAAGTAAGATTCTGACTATCATGTGGCCTAAATTATTCACTTGGTTACTCTGGAAACTGAGGATTGTAAACATGGCCACAAGTTGGATCAACCTGGCCTGGAGTTTTTAACTGTTTGATATTAATGTTATTTACAATGCAGTTAGATCACTTGATCACTTATCCTTTCTCAGGTTTTTAAATCTTTTCCTCTTAGATTTTCTTAATCTTCTAATCTTTAAGAGATGACTATAATTGTATTGTTGGGTGTATATTACTTCTTGAATTTTTTCCTCCTAATAAAATACCAGTCCCATTAAGATAACACAATTGAGTTGTTTATTGTATTTGGGAAATACCATTTAAACGATGTGACGTATGCCAAGGATTTTGAGTGTACTTATATAAAGGATGTGGGCTCTCGTTCTTTTCGTTGTCTTTAACATTAAGTTTTAAACCTAAACCTTCATTGGTTGGAAGGTTGCCAATTGTGTAATTTGTCACTGGTCTAACATTAACAGCAGGTTTAAACATGCAGCGCAATAGAAAGTGCCAGGTCCTTTACCGTATCTGTGGATACCAATAACAGCAAAACTCTTTTACAATCCCAGAGCAACAAAGTGCCAAACACACTCTTGTGCAACTTTTCAAAGTTTTATCTTTGTAACCTTTGAAATGATTGTTGAGGAGTTTTGGTGCGAGTTTTGGTGTAAGTCTTGCTTGGTGTCAATTGGATCCTCTTGTTTCAGTACACATCTTCCCATTTTTTATTTCTGCAGCATCTACAGTAGTGACGAGGATGATGAAGACATTGAGATGTGTGACCATGATTATGATGGATTGCTTCCCAAGTCTGGAAAGCGTCACTTGGGGAAAACTAGGTGGACCAGGGAAGAGGTAACTAATTATGTAATCAAAACATGGGGAAAAAACATGGAGTGCATCCATTTGTGAAAAACAAAATTTCAGCTAAACGACAGGTGTTCAAATGTATTAGCAGGCTCTCTGATTTCTTACCCTAGCCTGCATGTGCAGTGTGCTTACCCCTCACCACTCACCTACGTGGACACCATACCATCCTTTTTCAAGCTTTTTGCAGTTGTTTGAATGTTCTTGTCTTCTCACTTTATCTGTTTTTCCTATTCTGTTCTTGTCATTTTACCCCACAACTACTTCTTCATCACTTATGAGACATGGCTTCTTCTGTGAAGCCATCCCTGGTTTCCCTAGACACATTGGATGCATCCTCCAACAACTGGATACATGTTTGTATTTATTGTTGCTGTAACATATATGCCTCTCCCCGTAGACTGTGAGTCTGCTCAGGGCAGGGCTAAATGTCTATTTATTTTTGTGTTCCTGAACCCAGAATTGATTTCCACAAAGTGGAATATTAATAAATGTTCCCTGAACCAATGAATGAATCGCTATTTCTGAAAACAAAACCAAAGAATAAAGCCATAGAACTTGTTGCAACAGGTTCATTTAACATTCTTGGCATATAATGTTACACAGAGAAATATACCTGGGTGTCTGTTCTGAAAGTGTTAGTCGCTCAGTCTGTTCTGAGAGCATTCAGAAATGGATGGAGATGTGTCTGCTTCTCACCTCTCTATTTCTGCGAGCTTATCAAAAGCTTGATCTTTGTAGGAATGGGAAAATGCTTAGGGGGCAAAATTATTAATGTAAGAGAAAAGTTGCTTTTTTCTTTAAAGTTCTCAAATTTTGCAACTGATTGTAGAGGATTTCATGTTAGAGTAAATGATATTGACTCTTCTTCAGTTCCATTCTTCCCTCCTTTACTTAAACCAGATCTCTCATCGACAGGCAGGCAGGATTTCCAATGAAGTCCATAGGAAATGTACATTTTGCCTGTGAAACTTGGGCACATGGATTATTCTTAGAGATTCAGGAGTTCTGATGGTAACCCTGGTTTCCCGATTCCTGTGCATGTGTTATACCACGGGAGTCACATCATGTGTGAAAGTTACCTGGGCAGCAACATGGGTATTCTCTTTTGCTTGAATATGTTTAGAAAAACACTTGTGAACAGAAAGATTTCACCCTGATGTCTAGTGTCTCCTGTGTTCTGATAAGTTTGGTCTCATTTCAATTGTGAATATATTGATACAAAAACTAAATGGTTTTCTTACATCATACCTTCAAGTTTAATTAAGAAAAGTGATCCTCCACTTTTTAAAATGAAGATATTGAATTTAGTAAATATTAGACTAGAACTTGAACTATTTCTTATTGAGATCCTATCTAATGCCATAGTTCAATGTCTATTAAATCAAACAGTGGAGTTCATATTTTTCCCACGAAGTAGAACTTTTCAAAGTTACCAGGTATTAAACATTAAATGTATTAGACATTATGCTAAATGTTTTGCCTAAGTAACTCATATAATTCTCAAATAATCCTGTTGACAGACACTATCATTCCCATTGTACAGATGACAATATTAAGGCCCTGAAAAGCTAAATGATGTACCCAAGCTTATATAACTCAACAGTAGTTGAGTCAAGATTCAAACTCTGATCTGAGTTTACAGTAAATGACTAATATCCTAGGATTACCTTTAAATATCTTAGGATGAAAAACTAAAGAAGCTGGTGGAACAGAATGGAACAGATGACTGGAAAGTTATCGCTAATTATCTCCCGGTAAGTTAGTAGTTTTTCTTTCTGTAAAAGGAAATCTTTTCCCAAAGATTTAAATAAGATATCCTAGGAGATGATATTAAAACATTACACATGTGTTTATATGTAAGAAGTAAGCGAGAAATGCCTTATTCATAACTTATATTTCTATTGTAATGCATATAATTAAATTTCTAAAGATATTATTAATGGATTTTTTATAGTATATCTTAAATGCTTCCTCTTTTTTTATCTTTTCATTTTTAGGATAATGTAAATTAGCAATTTGATAATTTATTGTATGGTAGATGACTAAACTCATGATATTTCCCCCAAGTCTGCTTTTCTTCAATTTCGTATCTTTTCAATAGCTATAATTTTGGTATCCTCGTTTAAAATTTTGGAGCTGTTTTAGACTTACCCGGCTTGCCATCCCCTACACAAAGCCGGGATTAAGGGATCTGGGATGCCTTTGTTCATTCTGCTCACTGTTTTACTTGTTCAGCCCCTTCCCGCATTGCCTTCATAACTGGTTTTCCAGCTTGTAGCTTTTCACTTTCTCACATGTCCCAGACACCATTGGTAGACGGAGCTTCATAAAATGCAGCTTTACCTTACTTTTCAAAACTACCAACAGTGACTTCAAGTCTCATACATTAAGTAAACTGCCTAGACGTGGCACATGGAGGCTCTTCCATATGCCTCAACTTAATAGCCACGGTTCTGTTTCCTACTTCCTCTCTGTAAGCAGGTTTGGTTGAATTCATTTCTGCTTTCCCTCCTGAGAACTTGTGTCCCTGGTGATGCCACCTCTCAAAATGTTCCATCCATCCTTCAAAGTCTATGCCAAGAACTTTTCCAGACTATTTCTAAGGAAACATAATTTCTCCTTCTCAGGAGACACTCCTTTTTTCCACCCCAATATCATTTTGCTGTGGTCTCTTCTTGCCTATTAATCAAATTTCACCTTCTTAGTTAACTATATGTTTGTCTTTTACTACTTACATGATTATAAGCTCTTATAAGATAGGGCTCATTTTTTTTTTTCATCTTTGTTTTTTCTGCAATATTAACACTTTGGTCCTAAATTGAAGCACATCTCTTAGCCTGAATGAGAATCAAACTTATGTCATTTAGAGTGGTCCAACGTCAACATAAAAGTCCAACATCAGTATAAAATCTCTAAGAAGTCTTAATCCATGTGGGTACTTCCAAAGCAACACAGTGAGGTTAAGGTTAAGTTAAATGGACAGCCAAGTATGCTGTATGATGATCCTTTAGATCACATAGCAGGGCTATTTCCCTCAGGAGGGAGAACTTCCAATTTTAGATACAACTTTGATGTATTCTTTTGTATGTTCTTTAGCTATAAGTAATGGGCTTTCCAAACAGGCCCTAAAATGTTCTTGAATGTTTTCGTGGTATATTGCCCACGTGGGATTTATATGGCAACAGTATTCATGTGCTTATCACATCATGTCTTATGTGACAGTGCATGCTTCATCTTATTTGCCTAGAATCGAACAGATGTGCAGTGCCAGCACCGATGGCAGAAAGTACTAAACCCTGAGCTCATCAAGGGTCCTTGGACCAAAGAGGAAGATCAGAGAGTAAGTTCTTTACTCGTTGGTATGTGAATCGCAATTACGAGTAGCCCCCAACATTGTTGAATGTTTCCCAGCTTGAAGAAACAGGTAAAGTGTGCAAACAGGAAGTTGAGGTCTCCATTCCCATATTTCCCATGAATGAAAGAAGATTTTTAGAAATTTTCTAAAGATAACATGAAGAATGATTACACTGACTCATTACATAACATTAAAACATAGGTTATTTTTGTGTGTTTATCTGAAGGTGATAGAGCTTGTACAGAAATACGGTCCGAAACGTTGGTCTGTTATTGCCAAGCACTTAAAGGGGAGAATTGGAAAACAATGTAGGGAGAGGTGGCATAACCACTTGAATCCAGAAGTTAAGAAAACCTCCTGGACAGAAGAGGAAGACAGAATTATTTACCAGGCACACAAGAGACTGGGGAACAGATGGGCAGAAATCGCAAAGCTACTGCCTGGACGGTAATAACATGTCAAAAAATACATTGATTGGGAAGAATGAGGGAACGGGTGTGGAACATTCTGTTTTAAAATGTATGGTGAGTGAATTACGTTTTATCGATGGTGTATGTTTCACTAGATAGACCAGATCCATAGCTTTTAAGACTGGAAGAGACTTTAGAGGTTATCTGGTTCAGGACTTCCAGAATCCACCCAACCATGAGCTTGAGCCAAGTTTCCTCAGCCTCAATTGACCCATTTGCAAAATGGGTTATAACCTACTTCTCGGGGCCAATGTTAGTACCAAATGAAATATATCAGGGCACTTTGTAAACTTCAAAACTCTAAACACGTAGAAGGAAACCAAGGGTTAACAGTTTGGTCTGAGTTCATGCAGCTGGTTGTGACCAGAAGGAGTTCAGGTACCATTTTCCTGATACCATGTTCATTTCATTATACCACTTGGCTTAATTTTTTTTCTTTTGAATATAGAAAGGCTATATCTCTAGAATTATCATACTGCTTCCAGGTTTTTAAATCATGTTGTTGTTATGCTTTCTTTTTCATGAACAAGGCATGAAAATGACCTCATTTTGAGGGATATCTTTGGAAGCTCATTTTTGTCCCACTTTCCCCATTGAAACAGTTTATAACAGATGTTTAGTTGGGGAGATACTATTTATTATAAATCTTCTTAAAAATATCATAAGATATGAAATATTTTAAATACTTTTATTCTTCAGCTTCATGACCCAAAGTGGAGAAAGGGTCGTTCAAAGAAGGCCTTGCCTCAGACAGCCTATTCAGTATTCTCCTGTGATGTTCTGAAGCATTTCCTCTCTCCTGGTCCAGTATAAGCTCAGAGAATTCAAGAGGTTGATAAAGGGAGTCCTTTTATCCCATATGGTTTGAGAGGATATGTTGTTGATTCTTTTTAAGGGGCGATTGAACTTCCCCTTTCTTTAGCATGCATTCCCCCACCCCCACTGAAATAGTAAAAAAGAGGCTTAAAACGGTTTTTTTTTTTTTTTTTTGAATTGAGAAACTGTTTTCCTGAGAATTGAAAAACTTTACTAAAAATGCTTTGCAGTTTAAAAATATATTGGGAGTTAGCCTCTTTCCTTTCTGGATGCCATTTTACAAATTTCACCTCTGCCTGCTTTTGGAACAGTTTTAGGTGGTTTCTGAAATGTGGGAGGATTTTTTTACTCAAAATCTCTAGCTAGTACTGTTCTAGATAAAAACTAGACATTGAGGCAGCAGCAACATCATTATTCCTCACCAAACTTTACTAAGTGCCTATTGTGATGTGTATGTGGGTCCACAACTCAGAGGAGTAATTTTCTAGAACAACCAGGACGTTAAGTTGAATTAGAGTCTTGTACCACAATCAGAATAAGCATGAAAGGTATTGTATTGAAAATACACTTAACAAGAAAACAAATGGCTAAAAGATTTCAAAACTTGTATAAAACTATAGAATTTCCATATTAATGTAATTTAGAGAAAGCTCTGTGTTTTTAATTAGTTAATTGGGGTAGCATGCTTTAAAGAGGTAGAGAAGAGAGGAACACAAAAACACTCGTACTGGACCAAAAGAAAGGTCTCTGTTATAAACAGTTTTCTGTCAATTAACTGTAATCTGAGTTGAAATTGTTGTTTGTAAAATGAATATGTGATATATTTCTGTGCAGAACTGATAATGCTATCAAGAACCACTGGAATTCTACAATGCGTCGTAAGGTTGAGCAGGAAGGTTATCTGCAGGAGTCTTCTAAAGCCAGCCAGCCACCAGTGACCACAAACTTTCAGAAGAACAGCCATTTGATGGGCTTTACGCATGCTCCGCCTTCAGCTCAACTCCCTCCAGCTGGCCAACCCGCAGTTAACAGTGACTATTCCTATTACCACATTTCTGAAGCACAAAACGTAAGCTGTTCCTGAGAATTCAGTTTAATGAGAGAGATGGTTATTTTGTTACTAGTTCCAGGTAATAATGATAATTTCTAGTGAATATTTAGTTTTCACAAACATGCTCATGATCAGCTGAGAAGGGTAGGTATTGTTATTCCTAATATGAATCCAGAAATGAGGATGTTAAGTGATTTGTCCAGGGTTACACAGCTCATAGAGTTTGTCCAGACTAGAATCCAGGTTGTTTGGTTTTGACTTGCTGCTTCAAATCTAATTTGAAGTTAGCTTTTGAATGTAAATTTACTTAACATGGTATTGCTGAAGAAGAATGAGGGCATGGAGGTGCAGTTGTATCTAGTACTTTTCTCTGCCAAAATAAAGAGTGTAATATTACATTTAAAGGGGAAATAGTTTGACACTGAAATTTAACAGATGATTGTAATTTCAACTCTGGTAGTGATCTAGCTGAAAGGTCTTAATTTATTCATTCAGTAAATAAGTGTTTACCTTCTTACTGAGAATCAAGAGCAGTTTCTTGACTGACATCTGATTTTTTTTATCCTCCTTTGAATCAGTGAGATTCTTCATTTCTTGATATTTTTATCTATGGAAAGAAATTTTCATAATGGGTAGGAAAAGAATAAAGAGGAAAAAAATCAAGATTGCAAGACTTGAATCTTAAAATTAACAATAATAAATGGTGAAATTTATCTAAGAATTCAGAGCTCATAAGCAAATTCTATGCAAAACATATTCCCAAGTAGTTTTTACCTTCTGTCTATTCTGTAAATTTGACTGCAGACTTTCCTAAAAAGTCTCAGATGAATGAACTATCCTAAGAGCTGCTGTACTCTTTGCTAAAACTCATAATAATTCACAGAAAAATATTTTTATTTATAAACAGCTAGTGGCAGCCGTTTTTGGCATCAAAACTTCTTTCATACACTCATGAATGTATTTTATTTTATTATTATTTTTTTCCATTTATTTTTATTAGTTGGAGGCTAATTACTTTACAACATTGCAGTGGTTTTTGTCATACATTGAAATGAATTAGCCATGGATTTACATCTATTCCCCATCCCGGTCCCCCCTCCCACCTCCCTCTCCACCCGATCCCTCTGGGTCTTCCCAGTGCACCAGGCCCGAGCACTTGTCTCATGCATTCATGAATGTATTTTAGATTATATTTTTCTTCCTGGTTTTCTCTAAGGAATACTTCCTGTCAGAATTGATGAACATTTTAAATTTGTTTCACCGTGTTGCTTTAAAATTATTAAATGTTGCGCTAAAATTTCAAATTAGAGTTGGATTTTATTTATTTTGCTTTGTGAATTTTATCAGAAAAGTGCTTTTTTTCCCTTAGTCTTAGAGTGAAACTTGAGGAAGCCACCAAGTGCCCTGAAGCATGTAACCCCGAATGAGTCGGCCTTTGTTTTCATTTTTGCCGTAGGTCTCCAGTCACGTCCCGTATCCTGTAGCATTACATGTAAATATTGTCAATGTCCCCCAGCCAGCTGCTGCGGCTATTCAGGTAAGCCCACTGTAAGATCATTTCATAAAGAAGCTCATTAGTTGCTCAAGGCACAGCTCTGGTTCTTTCATCCAAACACTTATTTCCACCTGATCCACTGAAGTTAATAAAATGGGGGACAGTGAAAAGACGGGCGGAGTTCTGGCCAGCAGCCTACACTTCCTGATTGAATTAGCGCCGGAACCTCTGGTTCTCTGGTGTTAGAAGTTGAAACAACCCCTCTGTCAGCATCTCCTTGAGCCTCACATTTCGCATCCCTCCCTTACGTCTGGGCTAACACTCACAGAGATTTCTATAGTGGCCAGATTCGGCTGGCGTTGGTTCCATACCAGGGTTCTTTGGGTTCTGTGTGGTCCCTTGTGAACCGCAGGCCATGACCATTGTATTTACAGCTACCAACCAGGCCTTTGTGTTTTTTTCTTGCTTAACTTTTCATTTCAGAGACACTATAATGATGAAGACCCTGAGAAAGAAAAGCGAATAAAGGAGTTAGAGTTGCTTCTAATGTCAACTGAGAATGAACTCAAAGGACAGCAGGCTCTTCCAGTAAGCTGTCTCTGCGTGCTTGATCCGAGCGGTGGATAATGGGCTGACCCCAGGGTTCTTCTATATCTTTTCCTTTATCTCTAACTATCACACTAATCAAGACTCCATATATCCACTAATAATGTTTAAACACTAGAGGTTGCTTGTAATAAAATGCAGTCGGTATCACAGTATGTGTTGACTAACTTGGAAGTCGTCCTTTTGTGTTGCCGTAGAAACTCAACATCCATTTGTGAATCTCTTCCTCAATTTGTTTTTTCTTCGGAAGGACTGTAATCAATTTAGTGAGTAGCAGAGAAAAAATTGAAAATTTGCAATTTTTTTACAAAGCTGTGTGTCTGGTGCCTATTCATTGAGTTTTTTCCTATTATTTTTCTTAAGCTAGATTTTCAGATTTATCATTTCAAACATGATTTGATGTATGCCCAGTATATCCATGTTATATATATATAAAATCTCTCCATAAATAAGTGACCCTCTTTTGTTTGCATGCACAAAAGCTGTGTGGACCATTATTGAACTTTGACATTTTTTCTAGTGACTGGACGGCAAACTGGGAAAGCAGCTTGTACTTTGTAACATATGTAGTTAACCAACAAAGAGAATAAAAGATACGATACCCAGTAGGTATCCTCAGGAGTAGATTTCTTTTTGGTTAAATAATAAAATGATTCTGTGCCTTTGATAGTTCGACCACTTTTTTGACTTTAGTTAATGTTTTGCAATTTCTCCTGTTGCGTGGTCATGCTGAAAGGAGACTTCTGTTAATTTGCTCTTCTGCTTTTGTAACCACGTTGATTTGGCAGCTCTTTACTGCATCAGTGCAATCTGTAGCATTAAAAAGGAATAGAAGCCACAAGAATATACGCAGATAAAAGAAACTCTAACTTTTGAATCTTCCTTCCAGCCCTTGTGTAGGTTAGGGTGAGAAGAATAGCCCACTTAATTCATAATAAACATTCATGGTCCTTTTGGAAATTATGTTCAAGTAGATCTTTAAGACAGTCCATGTGAGAGTTGTTCCTTGTAACAGAGTACTTCTGGTTGCAGTTTTAACAAAATGATGACAGTGAAGATCATCCATAGATGACAGCCTATATACCACTACTAAAAAGTGGGGTCTTGCATTTATAAAAGGAAACATCTTGACAACTGTTTCACAGGCGCAAGTTCTGGATGATGCAATGGCTTTTATCTTTCCTCTAACAGCATCTGATACCTTATGCAACTTCATTGCTAAGTTCCTTCTCCCTTTCTTCTCCCCGCTCTTTCTTTATTCCCCCACCCCCCTCCTTAGACACAGAACCACACAGGCAGCTACCCCGGCTGGCACAGCACCACCATTGCCGACCACACCAGACCTCATGGAGACAGTGCACCTGTTTCCTGTTTGGAAGAGCACCACTCCACTCCATCTCTGCCCGTGGATCCCGGCTCCCTACCTGAAGAAAGCGCCTCTCCTGCCAGGTGCATGATCGTCCACCAAGGCACCATCCTGGACAATGTTAAGAACCTCTTAGAATTTGCAGAAACACTTCAATTTATAGATTCTGTAAGTAGAATTTTAAAGCAAGTTAATGTTTTGGGAAGAGGAATTAGGAAACCCACTTCTCAAATCGTGGTCATTTTCTGTAGCGAATATTGTGTTATTAGCATATAGTAATGTAAACGTGTAAGTGTGACTTTAGTTTTCATGTGTTTCTTCAATATCTTATTTCTTAGGCTACCTGCATAAAAGGTAGCTTTTCACACATTTCCTTCAAAATGCATTTTTATAAAAATAGTAAAGTCAGTGACCTTTAAGTAGAGCTTGGGGTATAGGAATATTTGGATTATTTTAAACTTTTTTTTTTTTAAACTTTGTTTATTCCTTTGTGTTTTCCTAGAACTGTGCTTTGCTTTTGGATAGCTCATTAAGAATTACGTTAAGAAATATTTTGGAGAAGGAAATGGCAACCCACTCCAATATTCTTGCCTGGAGAATCCCATGGACAGAGGAGCCTGGTAGGCTACAGTCCATGGGGTCGCAAAGAGTTGGACACGACTGAGCGACGTCACTTCACTTCACTTCACTTAAGAAATATTTAGAACTTAAAGCAGTCTTCCAATGTATTTGAAGTGGTAATAAGTTCTCTGGTGGTACATAGCTTTCTCCACAAACATTGATTACTGATTACGGGTCCCAACTAGTTCACTGACACAAACCATCTCCGGTGAAACAAACTTGAATTCAGCATCAGAAAAGCTGACAATTCGTTTTCTTTGTTTCCCAGTTGATTAAAACGCATTTACTGCATCCCCATCAGACAGAGGATGAACATTGCCAAGATGTGCCACCCAAGAGGGTTTCTTTTTGCTTTGAACTGCATGCAAATGATAGAGTACTGGGCGCTCCCTGCAGCGCCCGGGAGGGCCAGCCTCCAGGCAGCATGTGGGATACACCATGCTCTGTGCCAGAACAACTGTTTCAATCTCCAGGCTGTTTCATAGGAAGTCTAACAAGGGGGCCAGGTGTTTTCTTTGCATTCAGCATCTTTCTCAGTGCTGTGTTTCAGGTGATGGCACACACCACACACACACTGTCTCAAAGTTCTGTGCCTCCCACATTGTTTCAGGATGCTTCATCGTGGGGTGATCTCAGCAGTTTTGAATTCTTTGAAGAAGCAGATTTTTCACCTAGCCAACACGATGCAGGCAAAGCCCTCCAGCTTCAGCAGAGAGAAGGCAGTGTGAATAGACCTGCAGGAGAGCCTAGCGCAAGGGCGAGCAGACGCAAGTTGAGTGAGGGTTCACTTGACCTGCCCAAGCCCTTCCCTCCTGCGAGGCCCAGCACAATTCCACGGGTCATCCTTCAAAAAAAGCGGGGCCAAGCCAGCCCCTTCGCCACTGGACACTCTAGTTCCTTGGTACTTGCTGACGTCAGCAGTTCAACTCCCAAGCGTTCCCCTGTCAAAAGCCTACCATTCTCCCCCTCGCAGGTAGAGCGCAATTTCTGCACAACTGTTACTAATTTTCAACAGACACCTGAGCCTTAATAATCTAGAAACTAATCCTTTGGAACAAATGACTAATTACTGTTGTCTTCACTGATTTCGTTCCATTGTTGCCTCTAGCTGCTGCTAAGTCATACTGCCTCCGAGAGTTTAGGCTGTCTGTAGACTGATGATTTTGTCATAGTTCTCTCTCTGACTTCCTGGTGATTTGAAGGATGGTTAGTTGCATGGGATGTGCATTTATTTCCTTCCACACTAGAGTTTAACATTTCTATTTCTTCATTGTCTCCCATCCCTTCCCTCCCTTAAAAAACTTTAACAGATTTTCTGTCTCTTTGTTCACTTATTATTACATGATTCACTGACCCAGGGGAGGAGGGGACCAAATGTTTAGATAACATTTGAAGTGCAACTAGAAAATTTAAAGGTTCCAATCCATCTTTAAGTGAAAAAATTTTGGAAGAAAATGAGGAACAAATGCTTAAGAAAAATAACATACGTTTTAATTTCACTTTCCCAACATTGGCTCTTCTGAGTCATGCCATAATATTTTATTAGCACATTTTTTTTTGCCAGTGAATGTTCTTGTTTCATATACATTTTTAAGGCATAGAAATTATAATTCTTATCAAAGATTGTGTTCCTTAACTATATAAACATTTGAAGTTAATTTGGCACTTTAAAACATTTTTCCAGTTATGTCTGTTGAGTCTGTTTTAAGAACAACTCTAAGTGTGAGCAAATGGTATGCCCACTAAAAAAACTGATCTTATTTTTCACTTGTATTTTCCAGATTCTGTTCTGGAGTATATTAGTTCTGTAAGACTTTAATGATATTTCAGAAAAATACCTAAATATACAGGTAGATAAGTTTGGGAAACACTGAATTGGGCAAAATTAAGGCAGTTTCTTTACTGCAGGATCTCTCAAAGTTTTTAATACACTAATGTGCATTGTGAATTTCCAAGAGATTACAATATGTTTTCCAAATTTGTTTTACCTTAAAACCATTTGAGGAACACCTATTACTTTCCCAGAACATCAGTGTTTTGAGAGATACAGGTTATCACTTAAGAATTTTCTACATAATGTCAATTTTATACAATGATGTTTCCTAGATGACTAAAGAAAAAAAAAAGTATGAAAAACAATGGTTACTTTCCAAAGGAAGTCACTTCAACACTTTTAGCATTAATAAAAAGTGCATCTCATTCTCCTTAATGACAAGTGTCATTTATTGAGAATGTTTTCTTAGGATTTTGGAAATTTTTTTGCAAATCGTATTCCAAATCTTGGGTGCTAAATTGAAATAAAATGCTATGTGCTTGTTAACATCATTATTTCATATAGTGGGTCAGTAAAACATACCTACTTGTTAACATTGATTTTTAAATTGGGCTGAGTAAAAAAATCACTGTTTAACTTAAGTATTTTTTTCTTTCTTCTCGTATTTAGTTCTTAAACACTTCCAATAACCATGAAAACTTAGACTTGGAAATGCCTTCTTTAACTTCCACCCCACTAAATGGTCACAAATTGACTGTTACAACTCCATTTCATAGAGACCAGACTGTGAAAATTCAAAAGGAAAATACTATGTAAGTCGTTGTTTCAAGAAAAAAATTATTTGTTTTATTTACTTATAGTTAATTAATAGAAAATAGTCCCCAACTGTCTGATCTACTTATATGTGCATAATTTACTGATCCACTTTTATGTTCATAATCATGTGTATTTCCACATTGAATATGTCTGTCCTGGGCCTGTTAGAACTACCTAGAGGTGGAAGTGGGGGAGAATAAACTATCTTTTGTAGTTCACTTCACAGTTTCCTATATATCTAGAGGAAGGTTTAATATAACTTTTCCATTCAGTTTTTCTGTTTGTTCAGTAAGTCTTTTTCATTGAAAACAAGATTTTCAACATCCTCTCCTCTCTAATTATAAACTTTGGAATGAGTATGGTTCTTTACTTAGTTTATATTTTTAAATCTTATTTTTTCTTCCTGAAATTTATCTATAGATTGGACCTGTTTTGCCATCCCCAGGAAAAGTATGTGACTGAAAGTCAAGGAATGATTAAGCCATTGTTTATATTCAGTAAAGGCTTAACCAATTCAAAGAAATGCCAGAGAACATCAATATAAATTATAATAAACCTTTTAAAAATGCAATTTTATTATTTCTGATACCATAAATACATTTAAAAAACAGTTTTAAAAACCTTTTAGTTTTCAAAGGTTAGCATGTTTTCTGTTGTGGATAGTTAAAGATAATGAATAGATAAAGTTGATTTGTAAATGACATCAGATCTTCATAATGCTTATGCTCATTTTAAAGGCTTAGAGTCACTACAAGTATTTTCAGAATGATTAAAGAAAGATGAGAAATATTTTAATGCTCTTAGTTTTGGGGTATGATATTTTGAAATATTTGGAAATACATGATAGACATATTATCTTTTCCTTAATAATACATACATGATCCATCAGCATACCCTATTCTGTATCAATAAGAGTTTATTGTATTTAGTAGAAGAATATTACATTTAATAGGTAGAGAAACATAGGGGACATATGATCTTTCATATTGAACCAATTCTTGTTTTCTTTTTAAAGCTTCAGAACTCCAGCGATCAAAAGGTCAATTCTAGAAAGCTCTCCAAGAACTCCTACACCATTCAAACATGCACTCACAGCTCAAGAAATTAAATATGGTCCCCTGAAGATGCTAGTAAGTTCTAGTAAATTTCTTGGGTTAGTTGGTTTATTAATACAGATAGAGAATTTCCTCTGATGCAAATGTACCCAATCTTTCCTTCAGCCTCAGACACCATCTCATCTAGTAGAAGATCTCCAGGATGTGATCAAACAGGAATCTGATGAATCTGGGATTGTTGCTGAGTTTCAAGAAAATGGGCAACCTTTACTGAAGAAGATCAAACAAGAGGTAAACATGGGATCCTTTGAAAAGAACAACCCTACTCCCCTTGTTCCTTGTGGGTAGCCTGATGTGTCTGGCGTGGGCACTGTGGAACATCATGTTTCATGCAATATTTTCATATAAGATGCTGTTAAGAGGTACTGCCAGGCTTGGCAGCATATGCATGCCACCTTGTAATTGGGAAGCCAAGCCACTTCTATTTCCTTCCTGTTTGAACAGAAAAGATGCTAGAAAGGATAGAGGAAAGAGAAGGAAGCCGCTTTGTATTGTACTTTTTAAAATCACTGATATAGAGGTGGATAGATGACTGACTGATACATAGATGTTTAATTGTTGGCTATCATGGAGAGTTGAAACTAATGAAATAATGGTTTCTTTAATTCATAGTGTAAAAGAAAGGGAATCTAACTTGCCAAGATCAAAGTTTTAGCTTGGTGTCAGGAAGCATTTCCAGTAGGTTAGATACTGGGCCTTTTGAATTTATTTTCATATGAGGATAAGAGGTTGAGAGATTGGCCAGAGATTGACTTTTTCTTCAGTTTTACTGAGATATAATTGACAAAATTATAAGACATTTAAAGTGTACAATGTGATGTTTTGATATGCATGTACTTTGTGAAAGGATTCTCCCCCATTGAGTTAATTAACATATCTATTACCTCACATATTTACCTTTTTTCCGGTGATGACTTTTAAGTTCTACTCTCTTAGCAAATTTCAACTATACAGTATTGTGTTATCACCTATAGTCACCATATTCCCCATTAGATCCTCAGACTTTTTTCATCTTACTGATACTGACTCTTGAGTGTAACTGTTTCTTGGGAAGTCCTAACTCTAGAAAGAACAAAGCACTTCCTGTTTGCTTTTAGGTGGAATCTCCAACCGACAAAGCAGGGAACTTCTTCTGCTCAAACCACTGGGAAGGGGAGAGTCTGAACACTCAGCTGTTCACGCAGGCGTCGCCTGTGGCAGATGTGCCAGTAAGTACACCCCGTGTTGTAAGATGCTGGCTCACAGAACTCTGTGTGTGGCATGCGGGGCCATTGTGGTTTCGGCACTCTTTCATGCATCATACTAATCAGTATTCTGTCACATTATTTTCTTATGATCATCAATGTTGAACACAAAGTGAGATTTTGTCCACGTGTTGGAAATAGATTCTGTTCTACTGCAAACTTGTTTGTTGTTTTTCACTCATGAGTTGAGAGTCCTTAAAAAAATCTATGGCATGTAAATACATATTTCCATGAAAACAGTGCTAATTTTTACATTATCTTTTAATTTACTTGTTTTTCTTGTAAAAGTAGTACAAGTTTCTCCTGCGATCTGAAAGTAGAGGATTCCTGTGAAACCTTTGGTGGTGGTTTAGTCACAAAGTCAAGTCCAACTCTTGTGACCACATGGACTTTAGTCCACCAGCCTCCTCTATCCATGGATTTCCCAGCCAAGAATACTGGAGTGGGTTGCCATTTCCTTCTCCAAGGGATCTTCCCAACCCAGGGACTGAACCCAGGTCTCCTGCATGGCATGTGGATTCTTTACCACTGAGCCACCATAAAGCAAAGAAGTGGTTTACCTTAGGACTTATCTTACTAACAGGTGCAAAAAATAAATCGAATTTTAGAAAACAAAACAAAGAAACAAATAAAAACAAACTCACAGATACAGAGTACAAGCTAGTGGTTGCTGAGGGAAAAGGGGTGGGGAGAGGATGAAATAGGTGAAGAGGTTTAAGAGGTACAGGCTCCCAGGTATAAAATAAATATTACAGGGATATAATGTATAGCACCTGGAGAATCCCGTGGACAGAGGAGCCTGGCAGGCTACAGTCCATGGGGTCACTAAGAGTCGGACATGACTGAGTGACTAGCACTTTAATTTTTCGCTTTCAATGTGTAGCATGAGAAAGATAGTATTTTATAATAACTGTGTATGATGTATAATGTATAAAAATGTCTAGTGTTGTACATGTTGTACACCAGAAACTAATATAATATTTTAAAGCAACTATGCTTTAGTCAAAAATGAATGAAAATAAGTTAATTGAAATGAAGATGCTCATACCAGTTCTAAACTGTGGCACCTGATGCTGAGATGCTGAGAGTACTGCCTGGGAGGGAACGGGGTGGTGCCACTCTCACTGCTCAGGGTATGTGCTGCCTCTGTAATAGTTGGCTGCAAAACAAAAGCAAAAATTCTCTTTGGATTTCTATTGGTTAGCCATTCATGAAAATAAATACTAATGTAGGGCTTTCATCAGAGTGAAGTGGTGTGAAGTGAACTTTTGAATAGTAGGGGATACCTGTATTTCCTCCTTGGTAAGTTGTCTCCTGTTTGGTTTTATGTAGCATCTGAGTGTGTGCATGCATGCTCAGTCCTGTCAGACTCTTTGTATCTGGCATAGTGCTAATCATAGTGTATGTAGTAAATGCCCTTTATCATACACAGTGTTGCATTGCTTTGGTTATGACCATTTTTTAAAACAGACTATTTTTCAGAGCAGTCTTAAGTTAGTAGCAAAGTTGAGCAAAAGATACAGAGATTTTCCACATATCCTCACCCTCACATATGTACAGCCTCCTCCTTAGCAACATCACCCACCAGGGGGTTACATTTGTTACAGCCGATGAGCCCACTTTGACACATCATCACCCTAAACCCACAGTTTACCCTAGAGTTCACTCTAGGTGTTATACACTCTATGTATTTGGACAAATTTATACTCACATTTATCCACCATTATAGTATAGTAGGGCATAGTTTCACAGCCCCGAAGGTCCTCCATGTTCTGTCTAGTTATCCTGCCCTCCCCCTCAACTTCTGGCACCCACTGATCTTTTTAGTCTCTATAATTTTGCATCTTCCATAATATTATATAGTTGAAATCATACAGTATGAAGCTTCCTGACTAGCTTCTTTCACTTAGTAATATGCTCTTAAATGTTTTCTGTGTCTTTTCATAGCTTGGTAGTTGTTGTTTTGTTTTCCTTGTTTTGTTTTCCTTTTTTTGTTTTCCTCTTAACCATTATTTTAAAAGATTGTAATTTGTGAATGATTACCCTTTTCTCTTATGAAGAATCAGAGGTAATAGCAATTGCTAATATTTATTCAGTATGTACAGAGTGGTGATTAATATTCTTAGAGCTTTAGATGCATTAACTCAGATATCTAACCCTCACAAGTGCCCTACAAAGCTGGTAACATTGTCATTTCCATTATACTAGTAGGGAAACTGAGGCATGAGGAAGCTTAGTCACTGTTTAAGAGTATATAGCTTATAAGTGGTGGTTCTGGGTTAGAACTTTGGTTCTAAATTCCATTCTTTTCACCTTTAAACTATACTACCATTTAATCTGTAACTCGAAAAGATTTCTTACCATTATATGAAATGAACAGTTCTCTCACCAGAGCTTAGTAAATCTTTCATTTTAAAAATGTGTCTTTATCAACTCATTTAGCAGATGTTTTTGAGCGCCCTGCCTCATTCCTGGAACTGTGTGGGACCGCAAAGCTTTTTGTTTTAGTGATGTCTGCCCCAGTGGGATTAGGGTTAGTGCAGAATTGAGTTCTCCGTTTAGCTCATTGAGCAGAGAATTTCTGGCAGATACCTGCATTTTTTTCCTGCTAATGTGTGTCAACTCATAGTAATCTACTCTTTCAAGTGTTAGAATTCTGTCAGTCCCCTTATTATCCTACCTCATTTCAATTTAAAATTATTCTCTTTGCCTTTAGAATATTCTTACAAGTTCCGTTTTAATGACGCCAGTATCAGAAGATGAAGACAATGTTCTCAAAGCATTTACAGTGCCTAAAAACAGGTCCCTGGCAAGTCCCTTGCAGGTAATTACTATTCCAGCATTGGTATCTAAAAAGTCATTCACTATAAAACTTTAAAAAAAAAAACATTTTAGATGTAGTGCAGTGATGCTTTTAAATAATTCCCAATGTCTAAAAGACTCCTAAGATTGCCACTCATATGAGACTCACTGAAAATTTTTTTATTAGAGCAAGCTTCCAAAGAATGATGAAGTGAAGCATTTCTTACTGTGACTGAGACTAAGATTGTTAATCACATGTGACAGTATCTCTTTCTTCTGCTTTTAAAGGTTTTATTAAATAATTGGTATAGTTTACTTTTAGTTTCAAAATTTTTACTTTTTCTATTCCCTCACTAAGCCATCAAAGCTCAGACCTTGTTTAGATTTTCAATGAAGTTTGAAATTAGATAGCTAGAAAAGAATTACAACATATTTGACTATCAGAATAAGAAAGTCAACTGTCAGTGTTATGTGGCTGATCTCTGGTTGAACATCTGCTTTTGGGTTTTAATATCAAAAGAGATTTCCCTTTTTCTGAAGTAGGTGTATGTTGATGAAATACAACACATTCCAAATTAATCCTGAACCAAATGTAAATAAGAATGCAAATTTGCTCCCTTAAATTATTTACAGCAGTTCCCAGCATTAAATAACACAGTACCTGCAAAGCCACCTGCAAAGCCCTCCCCTTCATCTCCCCCTTGCCATACTGAGGGAAAAACCATAAACCCTGGAGCATATAGAGAACCTGGATTCGGAAGTGAAAAGTCATATTTGTCCCGTGAGGGAAGGCACAGTATGAGATGGTGTGATCTGAAAGAGTGTCCTGTTCCAGAATGGGCTTTCTTGTCACTGTGGTAGGCCTGCACTCTCCAAATTAGGAGAATCTTAAAACTGCCCCCTTTAAAGCATTTGTGATACTTAGCATTATTTTTAAGAAATGCAAATACAGCTAGAAGGGCTGTAGGCACACTTTGTGTCTTAATTCCATCAGATTGCTCTCCTTGTGACTGATCCTACTGCTTTGATGAAAGGTGACCATTGGCTAGAGTGTGGACTAGGGAAAGACAGTCCTTGAGGGCATCCAGAGTCTTTCCTGAGTTGATCAGGCCTAGGTAGAGGTGTCAAGAAGACTCAGAATATGGCACAGAATTGGGAGATGAGGAAAAGAACAAACTCTGCATAAGGGGGGACCCAGAAAGGAGATTAGAAGAAAGCAAAGGTCACCCATTACAGAATCTTACCGAGAGCTCCTCCTACATCCAGAATGAAAACGCTTTCTTTGTTTGTTTTTCTTGCCTTCTTCCTCCCTGAATCTTTTGGCCCTGGGTTTCCAGAGGATAGGATTTGGCTAGTGCTATTAGTGCATTAATTAAGCTTTATTATTAAGCTTTAATTAATTAAGTTTTATGTAATTTTGTAACCTAGGCTAGGATCTGACTTATATTTATAGTAGTAAGAAAAAGTGCATTCTAAGTGCTAAATTGCAACATGTAAATATATTTGGGGACAGTTATCATTATGAAGTTGAAAACCCCTAAAGTTGGAGAACCCTAGGTTCTTTCCCTAAAACTAAATCCTAAAGCTTTTGGCCTAACCAGATAGTGTTCAGCAAAACCTAAATCTAAACTTTTATGCAAAGATAAAATATATTAAGCCAAACACAGTACAGATATCAAATATGTATTATATAAAACTTGGCAACAATATCAGTGTTTATAAAAATAGGTTGGCTAATTCTTACCTTAAATGTTTTAATGCTATTGAATTAAAAAAAAATCAATATGGAACTTTATTATCATTATATTTTATTTAATGAGACTATTGGGTTGGCCAAAAGGTTTATTCAGATTTTTCCATAACATCTTCTAAGCAAACTTCTTGGCCAATCCAATATTCCCCATCCTTGAAGCTCAGTATTAAGTGGTCGCTCTGTTTTTATTAATCTGTATTTTCTAGCGTATCAATGAGTCATGTTTGGTACTCTTCAGATTCTATCATTGTATACTGAGATTAAGCCACCTACATACATCAAATGGTGAAGGTAACAGTTGTCAACTCCACCCACCTAAATAATTGACACCACAAGCTGATTTGGAGTCAGTGCTTTCATGTACACTATATGGTTTTACTGATGTACACCACTCAAATATATTTTAATAACTTGCTATAATAGATAACTAATTCATTTTAAGAGTGAATGGCACCTACCAAGTGTCTCCTTCATTTTATGTCATGGAAACCTACCTTCTAGTACCATAGAAATATATGATTTCTAAAATGTTTCAAATTTTTGTGATAAATATTCGAAAATGCATCAGGTCATTCATTCTAAATATTTAAGCATATAGTGCCTATATTTCATATAAACCTGGCTCAATAATATTTATATAGATTTTTAAGCAATTTAGTAATCTTTTCATTAAAACCATTATGATTTTTTTTTCATTTATTTTTATTAGTTGGAGGCTAATTACAATATTGTAGTGGTTTTTGTCATACAATGACATGAATCAGCCATGGATTTACATGTATTCCCCATCCTGATCCCCCTTCCCACCTCCCTCTCCACCCAATCCCTCTGGGTCTTCCCAGTGCACCAGGCCCGAGCACTTGTCTCAGGCATCCAGCCTGGGCTGGTGATCTGTTTCACCCTAGATGATATACATGTTTTGATGCTGTTCTCTCGAAACATCCCACCCTCGCCTTCTCCCACAGACTCCAAAAGTCTGTTCTGTAAACCATTATGATTTATCATATATTTCCATTGATAATTCAATTTGACCTAATTGAACAGATTTTTCATGCCATGGTACTGTTGAACATATTGTGCATTTGTTAACTGACCTGGCTGTTCAACTTGAGTACTTTATATAATCTAGAAATTTTATAATTTGTACTTTTAATAAATGTATCAATTTAAATGGGATTTTATCCAAACAACCTAGACATTTCGTTAGAGTATATTTAATTAAAACAACTAAATTTGACTCCTAAAATATTTTAAAATTCTGATACTTCTAAAATATGAAATGTTTGTCAGTTGAATACTGCAAATGATTGTCCATCTAACTGACTAAATACATTTGCTTTGGTACAAGAGAAGTTTATTGACAACTACACTAACACGGCAATTCTGTGTTCTGTCTTAATCACACCCACAACTCTTTAAACAGAGCAGTTATTGTTTTGAGGCCCCAAATATTGGGATTTTATAGTTCAGATTCTAATGCACATGTAAATGCATATGCTTATACGTAAGTCACTTCAGCCATGTTTGACTCTTTGTGACCTCGTGGACTGTAGCCTGCCAGGCTTCTCTGTCTGTGGGATTTTCCAGGCAAGAATACTGGAGTGGGTTGCAAGGCCCTCTTCCAGGGGATCTTCCTGACCCAGGGATTGAACCTATGTCTCTTATGTCTCTTGCATTAGCAGGAGGGTTCTTTACCACTAGCGCCACCTGGGAAGCGCTGCTTAGACATGAATACATGTAATAGCTACATTTCCTTCCTCTCTGCTTGGAACCAGCCATTTCCCCAAGTGCCGTGGTCTTATAGTGGGAAATGGTATGTGGAGACCAAACTCAGACTGCTAGGTATGCCCATTTGTTATATGGATTGTCATTGAGAAGCAAAGAATTTTAATAGCTTGAGCTTTCCATGTATCCCCTAGTCCATAAGCTATAATGTTTAGAGGCAAGTATAAGCCATTATGCACAATGTTATATTTGTTTTTGAAATTATTTATGCTTGATCTTTTTTAAAAAGGAATTTGCAGCAGCTGCATAATAGTATAATTGGATTTCTTCTTTTTTTCTAGTTGCCTTAACTTTAAAACAAACAGGGACAGGACTCATAATAAAAATGTTCTGAGACTTTTTTGATATTTGTGTCTTTCAGGTAGCTCAGAATATGTGAGCTTTTCAGATCGTTGTGCCAGTTTCTCCGTGTTGTATGGTGGTAGAGAATAGTCTAGAAGGTTATAAAATGATCACAAATGAGGAAATAGACACTCAGCTTAGAAAACTTGCAGTTTGGGATGGAAAAGGCAGGTTCACTGTGGAACCCTTCTGGATCCTGCTATTTGAAAGTTACTCTGAAAGGGGCCAAGACTGGCAGACAGACAGATAGACACACACACACACACATGTGCCGTGCACAGAACCCCCTCAGTAAGGAGGAAAGAACTGCCTGTGCTTTTGATTTGCTTTACATTTTGAAATAAATAACATTTTGCCAATAAACATTCCCTAAGGTAGACATTTTCATTGGTAGATCTGAAACTACACTTAAGTTAAAAGCCTCTGAACTTGTGTATTTTTCTCTTAAATTATAATTTTCTTTTATTCCTGTTTAAAACCCAAATGTAAAAGATGTGTTCATATGCTTTTTACTCACTCTCTTTCCTCTTTTTTGTAACCACAGAGTGACAGCCTTAAATTTTAATTTCCTGACTTGGCTTGTCTTCGCCTTACTTTTTTAAAAGTGAGTTTAAGTAAATTTCTCAAGCTATTAATACTTAAACACATTTGCACAGCATCAAAGTATCTTACAGTATTATTGAAAGCAGCTGAAACTCATTTTTCCAGTTCCATGTGCTTTGGATTGCTCCTAACTTTAATATGAATTGTTTATGAATTTTTCAAACAATGAGGCAAACCCTTTTTGCTTGATTGGCATGGCTAAGAAGTGTCATACATTAGCATGCACACAACAGGCACCTGGGTTCTAATCCAGACTTCACCAATTTCTAGTTGCGTGTTTTTAATTCATGAACTTCTTCAAACGAAAATGCTCATCGGTATACTGGGGACTATAGTTTGTCCTCCATTTATCATACAGGGTTGCTGTGAAGATCAAATGGATAGAATATTACTTGCAAAATGACAGCACTCCTTCCAGCGTACATTGGTGGAGCCTCTTTTAGATAGTCCCTGTTCTTAGAAACGTACGCAGGAAGTCTTCACCACCAGCCAGGTCCGCCTGCACTGAGGTGCATCATTTCTTCTCACGTGTTCTTTCT